AAAGCCGGCCATTCATACGGGTTGCTGGGTCGTCACCCTGTTTATGGGCTTAGTCTGAAGTATGCCGCTGCTACGTTTGTCGGCTATTTATTGGGCAAAGTATCGTATTTCTCGGAGTGCAGGAGGAAAGTCTTAGAAATCATCCCGAATAGCAACCTGGCCCGAGCTGTGCGCCGTAGTGAAGCGGGAAGCACGTACGAGGTACATTTTGTGTAATTATATTTCACTGAGTTTTGGTGTTTCGTTCTCAGGTAGGAAAAGTGAAAGGCAAAAAAGCATGTAACCACTGGAATGTCTGTCTTCCTTACACTTTTATGATAGGCTCGTTTCTTCTGGGGTGCTGTTCTACATGATTTCCGTGCTATCATCCAGGAGTGTCTTATTTTAAAGACAGTAAATAGCAGCTATGTGGCAAGCGCAATGCCTATTCTTGTTTCATGCCTCCCTGATAAACTTTGGAAGACGAGACTCACTGAACCGGGTCTCGAACCCGGGATTTTGCGATCCTGACCCACGGTCTACCACCTGAGCAACCCCAGTTTAATACAGAAGATGGTTTTAGTTTTGGTACAACATATTAACTGTTATCAGGCAAGCGTGATTCAGGTTATCGAAAACATTCGGTTAAGATATCTAGTAGTTTGTTTACTCACGCATATTAAGCTGAGTGGGATTGGCCCTAATGAATCCTGCATAAGTTGATCGTGTACAGCTGTAACTTTGTTGCTTTATAAAACCGAGAAGAGATGTTCATTCGGTCATCATGTTTTGTATTGTATAATATTTTAAAGGAGGGAAATATGTTAAAAAGCATAACCAGTTCAAACAGGTAGAATTTTTGCCCTGGCATTTTGTTTCTATTTCTCTGCTTAGTAAGTGCAGGCAAAATCTTAAAATAGTTCATCCCTGTTTTGTAACGCACACAGTGGACACTTTTTGTAATGAAATTATTTCGACGTTCTTTATTTTTGTGAAGGATAAATTCATATACTGGGGTCGAGAAAACTGCTGTTATTCACTGGATCTCAACCATATATTTCTTTAATCGCCTAATAATGCGTAATTTATTTGCGGGGAACAAACTGAATGTTTTTCTTGTATGCGCCATAATCTGCCATTTAGTTTTTAGTACCTAGTTACTAATTACCAACTTGGTCTTTGACCGATTTCGCCAAGCAGTTAAATTTATCAGTAATCAGTATATATTAAGAAAGCTAACCGTTTGAAAGAATGCCATATCGTGAAGCAATTTCACTTGTACTCCGTAAAGTAAAAATTACAGCGAAACAAAGAATTAAGCATGCTGCGCATTCTGGAAATTGCTTTTAAATAAATAAAAAGAAAGAAATTTCGAAAAAGAAAAAATATAAATTTTAAATCTTTTCTGTTTGAGAAACGTCTCCAGTGCTGCTTTGTAAGATTAGTCAAAACGGAAACTTGACTAATCACAGTGATGCTGCATAAATCAATGACTCGATGGAAGCCGAGTTAAGGCGAACGTCATAAT